GCCCTCAGCGCAGCCTCCCTTTCTCTCGCCATCTCTACGTACCACTGCGGCCGATGTCGACGCGTCGTGCTGTACCGAGCTTGGGCGACCGTGCGGATCGTCGTCACCACCTTTTCCCGGGCTGTTTCGAGCGTGTGGGCGCGCATCCAGGCGTCCACCTCCAGGTACCCGTCCTCGTGTAATTGCTTCGCCAATGCCTCCTCCACCTCCTCTCGGAACTGTCGTGCCTCTTCCTCGTCATTCATCGCACGTCCCAGTGAGAGGTAGTCCCAATGTACGCCTTGGTTGGCAGGCGCACTGTACGTGAGCACATAGTCCAGCTCCGCAACAATAATCATATGATCCAGCACCGCCACACTAGGTATCGCACGTACCCGTCTTGTCAGGGAATACGCGACAGCACAGCGCTTCACACGGCACATCCAAGGGGCGGATATCACCATATGATCTATATGGCTGCAACTGCGGTGGCCGTAGTATGTCGGGCCACAGGGATACCAGCTCGTAATCGCTGCCAGGTTGTTCTGCTCCATCCAGTCGCGGTAGTGGGTGCCCGCTTGATGCTCTGTGCTGCGTCCATGGGGCCCCAAACTCTCACTGTCCACTTCTTGCTGTATGCCGTCGACACTCCGTATACCCAAGCCATCATTTAGATCCGTCGCCGCGATCATCGTGGATCGATTGGGGGTCCCCGCAGCAATCTGTTGTAACTGTTCAACCAGCTTCCTAACCGTCGCCTCATACTTTGGAATACTCTTGGCGTCTGTGCACCTCGGGGGGAAATAGCTGACCACAAAGGTGAAGTCGTGCTGGCTTGATCTCACTCGTACCGCGCCCAGTCGTCCTTGCAGCCCCTGCGGGACTGCCCAGAAGTGTACCAGCTGTGCCCGTCGAAATCGTATCCGATTCAACCATATCTCCACTCCACAAGATTTGTTGACCATCGTTCCTCGTGGTCCCTGCCAACCAAACTTGATCATAATGAACTGTTCATGGAAGCGCACGTCGTGGTACGTGGGTGCATCTCGCTGCTTCTTCACCGTTGTGCCTGCAAGCAGCACCACATCCGCGAATCGTAGCTGTTGTGCCACCTCGAGTCTCCTGTCATAGTCGCTCAGAAAGAGAGGGTTCCATTGCGCAATCTTCATGCGGGTCGTCGCACATCGCAGCACCGATGTGAGGCAGAAAATGAGGGCTGCGGAACTGGCCCTCATGCCCTGGGACCTCGGGCCAGGGCTTGATGACGATGATGATGATGATGATGATGATGATGATGATGATGATGATGATGATGACGATGGTGGTGGCATCCTACGGCTTCTGTGCGTCTACTCCTTCGCAGGATGCTCCAGGACGGTATGCTTTTCGGTGGTCCTCGCGCCGAGCAGAAAAAAAAAAACGCACGCGCCCGAGCGGTGCCCCGAGACACACGGGCACCGGCCCTGGCCAGGCCCCTCCTCGGCACCCCAGCCCAGGAGCGGTGCGTGCGCACCCTTCCCGCCCGGGCAGGGAGATGACGACACCCGTCGAGGACCCGGATGTTGGAAGACAAATCAAGCATAGTCCAAAAATACCCCCGAACAGCCCCAACATGCTCAAAAAACCATCGGTGGTCCTCGCCGAGGAAAGCGCACGTGTCCGAGCGGTGCCCCAAGACACAGGCACCGAACCTGGCCAGGCCCATCCTCGGCTCCCCGGCCCAGGAGCAGTGCGTGCGCACACTCTTCCCGCCCGGCCAGGGCTTAGGTCGGGCGTGTCCTCGGGATCCCACAGGCGGATTTTGGACGAGAAATGAGCCATGGTCAACAGAGGCTCAAACATTCAGAAAAAGAGAAGCATCGCCCCCGAACTCTTTTTGGACTCCTTTTGGAGACATTCCTCCTGTAGAGGGTGAGGAGCCCCGGCGTAGGCCAAGGAGGCGACGACGCCCGTCGTGTACCTGGTCTGGGGCCGGGCCAGGGTCGGCGCAGGCGTGCAGGCAGGTAGCGGCCCCCGCCGCCCGTGCAGACCTGGCCCCGGGGGAGTGGGGTCGCGAGCCCCGGGGGCGGCGGCGTGCTCAACGTGATGGGTTTGTTTTCCACCACCACCACCATAGGTTGGAGGGGGGGAGGAGGTGGAGGATAAGGAGGAGGAGGAGGAAGGGGAAGAGGGGGAGGAGGACCCCCTCCCCCCTCCACTTATGGTGTCGGTGGTGGAAACCAGGCCCAGCAAAACGAAGGACGAGGCACAGCGTGCTGCCTCGGGGGGTCCCCGCCCCCAAACTGCAAGGCGGAGTCTTCAAGGAACACCAGGCCGCCCAGGGACCTGGCGGCCGCAGGATGCAGTCGTCCTTCGCCGAGGACGCGAGACGGGGCACCTAGGGAGCTAGCGGGAACCTGTGGGCCTGGAGGCCGCGGTATGCAGCGCGTGCGGGGCGGGGCGGGAGAAAATTCATCTCAACGGAAGAAGCATCAACATACAGTCCGCGCGGATTCTGTGAGTCGGCGCTGGACCCCCTATCCCCGACGCGCGGAGCGAGCCAGGGGCGGCGCCGGAAGCGCCGCCAGAAGGCCCCAGCGACGATCCAAGAAATCCGCGCGGACCTCCGCACTTTTATGTTCAACCCGCTTTTTTTCCTTCCATCTGTACAATGTCGCCGCGCCGTTGGTTCTCAACGCGCCGAAGTGGATGACGCCGACACCACGGCAAATCCACGGCAAACCCTGCGCCCAGCGCCCAGGTGGGCGAAGCCCGCACCGCGGCAGAACCAACGGTGAGCCCTCCGCGCCCGAGGCGGCGTTTGCCCTGGTGCCCGCGGCGCCCTCCCCAGGACGGAAGGCCGCGCGTCAGAGCAGACCACTCTGAGATGCAGATTGCACCATCTACCGTGTGCACCGCATCAATTGCACAACCGAAATTCCACCACATACGTTGCACACCACATAAATAACAACGTGGACTGCGCAACCTATGTTCCTTTCTAAAAAGGAACTAGGTTCTACCACCCTCCCCCCCTGGATTTATCGATTCCTCAGGGACCTATGCAAAACATCTGTGATCCTGGCCCAATGTCCATCCGACCTGCGAATTCAGACTATCCCAGCCAGGCCTGTATCGGTCCCTCCTCGGTTCCCTTGCCAAAAATACTATACGGTGACATGTGTTGTTCTAACATAGCGTTTGTTCACGAATTCTTTTATAACACGGATACGATTCGGGGCACACGCGCGCGGCCGTTGCGCGCGCATGTCAAAATCCTTCCAAACACCTCATGTGCTTTCAACAATTTCAACACCCCGCTTCAAGACAACCTATGAAACCATATGACTTTCTAACCCAAAAATTCTGAAAGATCTGCCCGCGCGCTTTTGCCGAATCCTTCAAAAACCAACGTTCTGTCAACATTCCTGTCAAATCGGGCGTCTTGGGCAACTTTTGCGCGCACGTCGATCTCATTCAACAACGGTCGCGCGCCTGCCAGGGCCACAACCCCTTGTTAAAAATACAATGTGGGGCACATGCGCGCGGCCGCCGCGCGCGCAGGTCGACATCCATCCAGACACATTGCGGTTTCAACAATGTCAAGACCGAGCTGCATGAAATCACACGAATCGCGCCATACATCCTCGAAACAATCTACAAAACAAACAAAAACACTACCCGCGCGCGCTTTCCGAATCCCAAAAACCAATGACTTTTTCAACATGTCTGTCATGCGAGCAATTTCTGCGCGCGCGTCCCATGCCTTCAACATCGGTCGCGCGCCTGCCAGGGCCACAATCCCTTGTAAAAAATACCATGTGTGGCAAATGCGCGCGGCCGCCGCGCGCGCATGTCGAAACCCTTCCAATACACACTGTGGTTGCAACTATTTCTAGACCGAACTTCATTAAATCAGACGAATCGTACCATATTTTCTCAATGCACAATCTGCTGCAATATCAAAATGTCTATACGCGCTTTCCGAACCCCCAACAACAATAGTTTTCACAATTTCGGTCCTGCGAACAACTTTTGCGCGCGCGTCGAACTCCTTTAACAACGATCGGGCGCTTGCCAGGGCCACAATCACGTGAAACAAATACCCATGCAGGGCACATGCGCGCGGCCGCCGCGCGCGGATGCCGACGTCGTCGTCGTCGTCGTCGTGGTCGTCGGCGCCGTCGTCGTCGTCAACATCGTCGTTGTCGTCGTCGTCGGAGTCGTCGGAGTCGTCGTCGGTGTCGTCGTAGTCGTCGCCGGCGTCGTCGTAGTCGTCGTCGTCATTGTCGCTGTCGTCGTTGGCGTCAATATCGCTGCCAAGTGCCATTTGGTACCTACCGTCACGGTCCTAAGAGGTCTTGCGACCAAGTTGCGGGTGGGAGGGTGGGATGCTTGCACGAGAAGTGGAGAGGGCAGCTTCAAGACAGCCAAGGTGAATTGCAACACATAAACTGCACAACACATATTGCCAGAAGCACACTGTTTGGGGCCTACTCTGGCTAACACTCACTTCGGACCCCATTCGGTCGGGCGGATGATGAGCGCCGAAAGCGCTTCGTGACCAAAAAGGCTCGCTCGCACGGGACTTTGCTTGAGCCCGCTGGTAGCCTCGCTTGCTTCGCGCTTTCAAGCCATCGTGACTACGAAAAGCACGAAAGTAAGGATACTGCTAGCATTCGGTCGGGCATGTTCTCCTACAGGCGGAACTTGGAGTAAACATCCGAAACAGCCAAACAATACCCAAACGGAGTCAAACATGGTCGAAGAAACGCCCCTGGACTATGTGTGACGACTTGTTTAAGCTTTCTCTCCCTGTAGAGGGACATGCCCGCCTTCCTGCCAGCATTCCTTGAAGGACCCGCCTCCTCCTCCTCCTCCTCCTCCTCCTCCTCCTCCTCCTCCTCCTCCTCCTCCTCCTCCCCCGCGTGCTGCCGACACGGGCCCCGCGGGGGGGAGAGCCCTCCGCGTCGGAGGCCTCCGCGCGCCGAGGGGCAGCGGCCGCCCCAGCCCGAAGCTCGAAAGGCACGGGGCCGGCGCGCCTCACCGCGCTGCCCTGCGAGGCCTCCACGCGGTTCAGGGCCACGGTCATCTCGCCCCGGGGCCGGGGAGGGGGGGACGAACAGCCATGTTCGTCCCCCTCCCCTCCTCCTCCCCCTCCCCCTCCCCCCTCCTCCTCCTCCCCCTCCCCCCCCTCTTCCTCCTCCCCCTCCCTCTCCCCCTCCTCCTCCTCCTCCTCGCCCTCCTCCCCCCTGGGGGAGGGGAGTTCGGTTTATGACCCCTGGGGTCATCTCGCCCCGGGGCTGGGGAGGGTCGGGCCGGACGAAAGGGGGGGATTGGGAAAAGGGGGGTTACGGAATTTGCGGCATGCAGCTGGTTTCGGCCTCACCGAGGGGCCCATTCTTCGATACATAGCCGCCTCTGGCGCCGGAAGGCGCCGGGAAAGTCAGCTTTTCGCCCGACCCGAGAGGGGGAAACGAACAGCCCGGACCCCTGGGGTCATAAACCAAACTCACGACGGGAATTTCTCGCTATTTTCGCCTCCACGCGGTTCAGGGCCACGGTCATCTCGCCCCGGGGCAAGGGAGGGGGGAACGAACAGCCCGGACCCCTGGGGTCATAATCGCTCGGACGTCCATTCCCCTTGCATTTGTCGATTTCGTGCGTGTTTTTGTTCGCTAAATGATCAAGGATGCTCCTCGACGGTCCTCGCCAAAGGAAAAATGCATACGTCCGAGCGATGCCAAGGGGAAACGAACAGCCCGGACCCCTGGGGTCCTGAACCAAACTCGCGACGGGAAGTCTCGCTATGTTCGTCCTCCGAGGGCCCTTGCCAGGCCCAAGAAACCGTCACAAGTCGCCTCGGGGCGAAGCAACGGTCCTGGGGAATGGGTCCAGACCTCTGGGGGTCGACGCCCTGAAAAAAACACGACGTCGGGGGTCTGGGAGGGTGGTCGCCAGAAAGTGCTCTCCTCCCCTCCCTTTCCTTCCGCACTCGTCCTCCTCCTCCTCCTCCTCCTCCTCCTCCTCCTGCTTGCTTCTCCTCCGCCACCTTCCCCCTCCTCCTTCTCTCAGACGGCTGGGCGACTAGACAAGAGGTGCATGACGAGGGAGCACGGTGGCACAGCAGGCGCCACGGATGAGGGCGGGAGGGAAAGGCACTTGAAGAGAGGCAGGCGAAAGAAGGAGAGAGGAAGAGAGAGAGAGAGAGAGAGAAAAAAAAAAAGGAGAAAACAAAAAAGAGAGGAAGGAATGAACGAGAATTGATGACAGGGACAGCTGAATGGGGGGATAGATGATACAGTGATGGAGTGAGGGGTATCGGATAGAAGAGCTGGTTGATGCAAGAAGGATAACATTTGTGGACATGGGGCACAATCCTTCACGGTGCCCCCTTGCCATGTTGAGACGTGGTAGCATGCCAAGACCTGCATCTTATACGGGATCCCCCCATCCTGCGAGCGCCTCGAAACACGCATCACCCCCACCTCCCGACGGTTCCAAGGCGCACCGACGCATCCCGGACGTTCTCAAATACGTCGAATCTGTCTAAGATGACTTCACACACGGCCCAGGCAAACCCCGCGAAGGCCGCCGAGATGGGCCGGGATGCCTCACAGAAAAAGCCCGAGACCACCAAAAGACGGGCCAACATAGCCTGCGAGGCCTCCCAAGACGGCACAGGAGGGCTCCAAGAGGACCCCTGGCAAGGCCCGGACATGTTGAAATCACAGATGTTCCGCTGGAGCTTGACATACTGTCGCGTGCTCACTGTTTCTGGCCTCCATCAGCCCAGGACGGCCTCCAAGGTTGAGCCAGCCCATGATGTCCCCAAGAGGTCCTCAAGATGCTGTCAAGACGGCCCATGAAGCCTCCAAGACGGTCCCACGACGGCCCAAGGACGCCCCAAGACGCTCAAAGAGATTCCCAAGAAGACCCGTCACAGCCCCAAAACGGACTCCGAAGGCGCCAGACTGCCCAAATTCGTCACAGGACAGCCTCAGCGAGCCAGAGGCCTCCGAGGTGCTCACAAGAGGGATCCAAGAGGCCTCCAAGAGGCCCCAACATAGGAGGGGGAAAAGAAAGTCCGGGAGAAAGACGACGACGAACAAGAGGGGAGAAACCCCAATACGACGCGGAAGAGCGTATCAGATCGCACAGTTCGCCCAAGCCTCGGGACACGATGTGTCACACCTTACGGCTCTCATCGAGCTCCTCGGACAGTCTCGACCCCGAGGGCTGGGGTGGCATGGTGGCGACATCAAACATGAAGTACGCAGGGATTCAGCAGAGCACAGGGCGAATGAACCTGCACCTACGAGAGAAGTGTAGACATTGAGGTTGGACAGGACATCGAGGGGCACGAGGACTGCGGGAAGAAGGAGAGCAAGAGCAGGACACGAAAACTACCACCTCCGCTACCCCTCGCTTTCCGAGACCGCCTCGGCCCCCTCGTACCCGCCTCTACCACCTCCTCCTACCCACCCCCCCGACGTCACGATTTTGTTCACAACGACGACCCCCAGATGCCTGGACCCTTTCCCCAGGACCGGTTCTTCATCCCGAATCGCATTTTGACGGCCCCGAGGCCCAGGAAGGGCACCCGGAGGCCGAAAATGACGAAAAACCTCCCGTCGTGATTTTTCACAGCGCGAGGGGGCCGAGGCCCAGGAAGGGCCCCCCAGAGGCCGAACACAGCGAAAAACCTCCCGTCGTGATTTTTGTTTCACAGCGCGAGGGGGCCTGGGCATCGCGCCCCTCCCGACCTCCGTCCGTGCCCGTGCCCGCCCTGCTTGCTGCAAATCGGGCGTGTCTCCCTACAAGGGGATTTTGGCAGAACAAAACATACCCCAAACATATTCCAAAAGGGTTAAACATACTCCAAAAAGAGTTCCCGTATTATTCTTGGAACGTTTTTGAATATTCCTCCTGTAGAGGGACGGGCCCGACATAATGCTCGCTCCCCCGCTTCCTCCGCTCCCTGGACTTGAGCAGGGACCTACCGTCCCGGCATTCCTAGTCCTACCACGAAATGTTTTTAGAACCCCAAAATGCTCTAAGAACAAAAACAATGTTCTTAGAACATAAGCCGACGTGTGAAAACAAGACAGACTCCGCCAGAAATGGTCTAAGAACACTTCGTGGAAACCAAAAGAAAGGTTCCCAGAACACTGTTTGGTAGGGCTGTAGGCGAGCCAGGACGCTCCGCCACTGCTTGCTCCCCCGCTTCCTCCGCTCCCTGGACTCGGAGCGCCGCCCCACCCTGCTGAGGAGCGTGTCCAGGCCCGCCGGCGAGATGGGCACCTGGCGGGCTCGGACGGAGGGGGGGCAGCGGGGAGCCCAGGCAGGGCCGCGTCGCACAGCGAAAATCTTGTGATAAGAAGGTTCCCCCAAAAATCCACAACCTCCTGCCCTCCAAAACCTTGTCGCACAACCTCCTGCCAGGCAGGGCCTTGTCGCACAACCTCCTGCCCTCCAAGCAGGGTCGCCTCGCACAACGACAATCAGGACGAGAGGCTTTTCGGCAATGTCGGCCTCGGGGGGCCCTCGCCGAGCCGCGGGGCCGTCGAAAAAAAGCCTCGGGATAAGAAACCGATCCAGAGGCAGGGGGCGGGACTTTCAGGGACCCCGTCTCAAAAACATATCAGGGCGTCGCATGTCTGGGAGGTCCTCTTCGTTGTCCTCATTCCCCTCCCGCTCCTCGTTCCTCTCCCCTTCTCTCCTTCCTCCTCACGTCACTGGTCTCGCCCAGGGGGGCAAGTCGTGCAAGCACAGCAGGCCCCAAAGAGAAGAGAGGGACAGGGGTAGTGGCGAAACCCGCCTTCTGCTCCTATTCCTGCTCCTCCCCTTTCTCCCTCCTCCTGCCCGGTCGGCATCCAGGGACCCTCACATTTCCATGGTAAGCAAGAACCACCCACAAACCCAGAGAAACCTGCAAATTGGAGGCGACCAGAAAGGCCTGTGAGCTGGAGAAGCCCACAGAAAATCTACTAAGAAAGAGGGTGAAGACACATTAGGTCAAAATCCGCTCCCAGACCCTCCCAGGGTCGAAACTAACTTCCGCGTTCAGTCGAGGGGTCCCATTACCCCTCATTGTGAGCTGGCTGGAACCAGTACTGGGCCACCTCAGTCCCGCAGCGAGCTCCAACCTGCAGAAGCCCCCGTCCTTCTCCCCCTACCCCCTCCCCTCTCCCCCTTGCCCAAAACGTGCGAGGAGGGCAAGGAGTAGGGGGGAGGAGGAAGAGGGAGGAGGCAGATGGAGAACGAGGGAGCGGAGGGAGTCTTCAGACGCTTTCTCATCATTGCATCGGATCAAGGATGTGTGGCGGTGGCGTTCGAACGCTTATCGGGGGAGCCCTGATGTGTTCGGAGCTTCGCGAGGTTCAGGATGCGGCCAAGCATGATCGCCGGGACCCAAAGGTTCCTGGAGGCTTTTGAACTGAAAGGAGGACGAGGAAGGTAGAGGAGGCGAAGCGAGGGAATAATTAGGTCGGGCCTGTCCCCCTACATGGGGGATTTCGCACGAAAAATCAAACATACAAAACAGATATCCTGGCGAAGGACCCAACCATATGCAGTTGTGGGACCGCAATTGTGAATATCGTCTTCGGTGAAGCTCCCTATAGGGCCACGAAGCGTTGCACTGGGCGGGGGTAACGCATGCGGGCGGCAGCACTGGGGGCTTCGGTGGAGCTCCCTATGGGGCCACGAAACGCTATACTGGGTGGGTGGAAATGCCAAATTGGGTGTGTGGGACGCATGCGGACGGTCCCACTGGGGGCTTCGGTGGAGCTCCCTATGGGGGGAGGGGCGGCTTTCCCAAACTAAACGGGTTTTCCCAAACCAAAATTGGGCTTGGGTGACGTAGGCTCTTGTTTGGGAAGACCTGGTGTGGTTTGGGAAGACCCGGTTCGTTTGGGAAGACCCAAATGTTGGTTTGGGAAGACCCGGTCGGTTTGGGAAGACCCGGTTGGGTTGGGAAGACCCGTTTGGTTTGGGAAGACTCGGGCGCGTGGTTTGGGAAGACCCGGTTGGTTTGGGAAGACCCGGTTCGTTTGGGAAGACCCGTGGAGTTGGTTCGGGAAGACCCGGTTGGTGTGGGACGACCTGGAGGTTGGTTTGGGAAGACCCGGTTAGTTTGGGAAAACCCGGGTTTGGTTTGGGAAGCCCCGTTTGGTTTGGGAAGACCCGGTTGGTTCGGGAAGACCTGGAGGTTGGTTTGGGAAGACCTGGTTGGTTTGGGAAGACCCGTTTGGTTTGGGAAGACCCGGGGAGTTGGTTTGGGAAGACCCGGAGGTTGGTTCGGGAAGACCCGGATGTTGGTTTGGGAAGACCCGGTTGGTTTGGGAAGACTCGTTTAGGTTTGGGAAGACCCGGGGAATTGGTGTGGGAAAGCCCGGTTGGTTTGGGAAGACCCGGACGTTGTGGTTTGGGAAGACCCGGTTTGTTAGGGAAGGCTTGTGTGAGGTTTGGGAATGCCCAGGGCTGTGGTTTGGGAAGACGCGGTTGGTTTGGGAAGACCTGGCCGTTCGGTTTGGGAAGACCCTGTTGGGTTGGGAAAACCCGAGTTTGGTTTGGGAAGACCCGTTCCTCGTGGTTCGGGAAGGCCCAGTCGGTTTCGGAAGGCCCGCTTTGTATGGGAAGACCCGGCCGTTGTGGTTTGGGAATGCTCGTTGGTTCGGATGACCTGGTTGGGTAGGAAAGACCCGGGGTCGTGGTTCGAAATGACCTGGGGATGTGGGAAAACGTCGGCACTTGGTTCGGGCAGACCCGCTTGGGCAGGGAAGAGGAGGGGGAGGAGGAGGAGGAGGAGGAGGAGAAGGAGGAAATGCAGGAGGATGGAGAGGAGGACGAGGAAGAGGAAGGAGGATGGAGAGGAGGAGGATGACAAGGAGGATGGAGAGGACGAGGAGGAGGACGAGGAGGAGAAGGAGGACGAGGAAAAAGAGGAGGAGGAAGAGGAAGAAGGAGGAGAGGAGAAGGGGGAGGAGGACGAGGAGGAGGCCTCTACGCCGACCCCATCTAGGAGCCCTGGAGCCCTGGAGCGTGGACCTCGGGAAGCGGCGGATGGGGATGCATTGCAGTCGGTCCCGCCAGGGGCCCGGATATGTCCACAGTCGCCCCTCCCCCTGTGGGTATGGGAAGCGCGATCTGGAACGGAACGCTTGCCTGGCGAGCGACTCTGAACATGACGGGTTTGACTATGATTGAGTGCGAGTATGTGTCTGTCTGCGCACGATGAGTTTGCGCAAGAGTGAGTCTGAGTGTGAGCGGGTCTGAGCGTGAGTCCATCCGCGAGTCGGTCTGAGTACGAGCGGGTCCAGTGTGAGGGTGAATGAGTCTGCGTGTGGATGGGTGAGCAGCAGGGACCCCAAGGAGGAGCGGGGCGGGGCGGGGCGGGGGGGGGGGGCGGGTCGGGGGCGGGGGCGGGCGGGCGGGCCCTAACGGGCGGGTCGGGTCGGGCGGGCGGGACATTCAAGTATGGTGCATGATCGAGCCCACGCGCGAGAACCCTAACGGGCGGGTCGGGTCGGGTCAGGTGGGTGGACCCTGACGGGCGGGTCGGGTCGGGTCTGGCGGGCGGGCCCTAACGGGCGGGTCGGGTCGGGCGGGCGGGACATTAAAGTGCGGTGCATGATCGAACCCACACGCGAGAACCCTAACGGGCGGGTCGGGTCGGGTCGGGCGGGCGGACCCTTCGGGTCGGGCGGGCGGTCCCTAACGGGCGGGTCGGGTCGGGTCGGGCGGGCATTAAAAGTATGGTGCATGTGTCGAGCCCACACGCGGGACCGAACGGGCGGGTCGGGCCCGGCCGGGTCGGGCGGGCGGGCCCGAATGGGCGGTCGGGTCGGGTCGGGCGGTTGGGGTCCTAACGGGCGGGTCGGGTCGGGCGGGCGTGGCGTTAAAGTATGGTGCGAAATCGAACCACGCGCGAGAACCCTAACGGTGCGTTGTTGCGGATCGTGCGGGCGGACCCTAGCGGGCGGTTCGGGCGGGCGGGCCCTGACGGGCGGGTCGCGTTGGGCTGGCGGGACATTGAAGTGTGGTGCGTGATCGAGCCCACGCGCGAAAACCCTAACGGGCGGGGCGGGGCGGGTCTGGTCGGGCGGGCGGGCCCTAACGAGCGGGTCGGGTGAGGTCGGGCGGGCGGACCCTGACGGGCGGGTCGGGTCGGACGGGTGGGACATTAAAGTGTGGTGCGTGATCGAAGTCACACGCGAGAACCCTAACTGGCGGGTCAGGTCGGGCGGGTGGGCCCTAGCGGGCGGGTCGGGTCGGGTCGGGCGGGCGGATCCTAACGGTCGGGTCGGGTCGGGCGGGGCATTAAAGTGTGGTGCATGATCGAACGCGCGCGAGAATCCTTACGGGCGTGTCGGGTCGGGCCTTGTCGGGCGGGCGGACCCTAACGGGCGGGTCGGGTCGGGTCGGGCGGGCGGACCCTACCGGGCGGGTCGGGTCGGGCGGGCGGACATTGAAGTGCGGTGCGTGATCGAGCCCACACGCGAGAACCCTAACGGGCGTGTCGGGCCGGGTCGGGTCGGGCGGGCGGACCCTAACTGGCGGGTCGGGTCGGTCTGCGGCGGGCCCTAACGGGCGGTACTGGGTCCGGGCAGGGCGGGACATTAAGTGCGGGGTGCGGTGCATGGTCGAACCCACACGCGAGAACACCTACGGGCTGGGCGGGGAAGGGCTGGTCGGGTCGGGTCGGGCCGGTGGCCCCTGACGGGCGGGTCGGTCGGGTCTGGCGGGTCGGGTCGGGCGGGTGGGGCATTAAAGTGTGTTGCGTGATCGAAGTCACACGCGAGAGCCCTAACGGGCGTGTCGGGTCGGGCCTTGTCGGGCGGGCGGACCCTAACGGGCGGGTCGGGTCGGGTCGGGCGGGCGGACCCTAACGGGCGGGTCGGGTCAGCCGGGCGGGACATTAAAGTGCGGTGCGTGATCGAGCCCACACGCGAGAACCCTAACGGGCGGGTCGGGTCGGATCGGGTCGGGCGGGCGGACCTTGACGGGCGGGTCGGGTGGGTCTGGGCGGGGGGACATTAACGTGCGGAGCGTGATTCTGAGCCACGCGCGGTGAGAACCCTAACCGGGCGGGGGGGGGGGACGGGCGGGTCGGGTCGGGTCGGGCAGGGTGGACCCGCCGGGGGGTTCGGGTCGGGTCTTGGCGGGTCGGGTCGGGCGGCGGGCATTAACGTGTGGTGCATGATCGAGCCACACGCGAGAAAACCCTAACGGGGGGTCGGGTCGGGTCGGTTTCGGGCGGGGGGCTTGTTGGGGGGTCGGTCGGTCGGGCGGGCGGCGGC